AAAATAATCGGGAAAGTATCTTATTAAATATCAGTTCCCACTAAAATTAAACTTAACTTTAGATGTGAATACATAAACACAAAGCAAAGAAGCATAGATGTCAGTACTAGATCTATATGTTATATATCTACCAGTGAGTCTAACTCTTTGGTAGAACATGACAATTATTATTTTTTAAATTTCACATTTGGCTGTTTTTGTTAGCCTTTCGCGGCCAGGAGCTGGTGTCATAATCGAGGTCACGATCTGATTATAGGACGGTAAAAAGTCGAGGAAAAAAAACAAGCACAAGCAGCAGTCAAGAGATTATTAAGAGTTAGTTCCCCTCACATTTGTGAGGTAGACTCGACCAGTGTTAATTAGCTTACTTAATCAGGGCGTGTGATTGATTTTAACTGTGGCCCCAAAGGGGTGAACAGGGTATATGTGGCAATGAAACAACTTTGACTGCCATGCACATGTTCCCTTCAACTCTATTCCAGCCTCACTTTAAGCTTACTTAATCAAAGCTTGCGTCTGCTTATGGAGTGGCCCGAGAGGGGTGAGAAGGCTATTTCTGTGGCCGTGAAACCGTTTTGAATGTTAGGCATACTGTTCGTTGTTGGTTACGAACGTCTTTTTACATTTAATTTATGAAGTTTACGTTTAAGGATGAATTTGACAGCGACAATGTTTCAAAATTAGAAAGGGAAGCAGTGATTATTTGATTATATAGACGCTTCGCCCCTGTTTGAACGTCTCACGATACAATCAAGACTGCAATGACAACAAGAAGTACGAATGGCTGTCGGCTGAGCAAAAACAACACTTGCTCCACGCCAAATGAGTTCACAAAACTCTACTGATAAATGCCCACACGGCGTACATCTTACAAAAACAAGTGGTGATAATGCACTTAACACAGTTCTAAACTTTATAACCAGGACTCTTTCTTTCCAAATAACACGACAATAGGATAATTGGCCTACCCATCATCTACCCCCCCCCATAAATACCCATCATCTACACCCTATTAACATTAGAAAACAGGAGGTTTAAAATACATGCACTGTCATTAAGGCACATGGTTTCATCTCAAAATACAAATACTTTAGACTTTAGGTACTGCACACTAAAAATGTATATTTACAATTCAGTAGGGCCTATTTTTTGTAAATGGTTTAAGAATAGAAAGTGGCTATTCTCACCCACCCCGGAAGTTCTCGCAAGATCAACTCCTCCCCTCTTCTTTCTCTCTCTGTCTCTTTCTGAATACTGTCTATCGGTGTGGACGATCAATTGACCAAAACAAAGTAAAAATGATGTTAAAACACAAAAGTAAATAAATTTGGTTGTCTACAAAGATGCTACGGCTATTTAACTTTTCAATCGAGCCGAACTACGCGGGTCGCCATTTTGTTTTGCC